CTTCTAGTGTGACGGTTTCAAAAAATCGATTTTTATTTTTTTGCATATATCGAAAGTACAACTCTTCAAGAATGTACTCCTCAAGTTTTATAGTTGTATTCAATAAAGTAACGAAGTTATAGCTCGTTTAGTGTGACACATCAAGGGAGAATCTAAATTGCACTGAAAACTTTAAACGCGTTTTTCTCGGAGCCGTGTTTTCTGAAATGGTTGCCACGATCTGGCAAAAACTACTGAACCAATCGAACTCAAATTTTGCACATGTCTTCAGAACATGTGTGGCTATGGTCAGTAGTAGAATTATGCCAAAATATATATTTTTCTGATTTTTAGAGCCTCTGAAAGACGAAAAAAAGTCGACAAAATCGATACACAAAATTCAAAGTGCCGCCATTTTGTAAATTTTCACTATTTGTTTTTCATTTTGGTTCACACCATAATCACATTCGTACTAATCAAGAATCCTTTTGGGTTTTTCATTTCGGATAAACAGAATGGGCGGAATCGTGTCAGGCAGTAGGGCACTTTTTTTAAAGGGACCGCACTGAATGATATATAATTCAGACAGTTTTGATTATTTTCATTTGAAAAAAATTATGAACTTTCTTAAAGCACGAATAAATATGTATGCAAAATGCCGATACTGAGAAACTTATACTTTCTTTCAAAAAAATCCCTAAGAAGGACTAAAAAATGACACTCTAGACCAGAATACCCACTTAACACTATTCCTACCGACACTTCACGTATACCTATTCCTACCGCGGCTGGTCAAATGACCGGTCTTTCACAACTTATATTTTTCAATATTGAATGCAGACCAATGGCCAGCTTACCAGTATAAAAATATATTTTCTTTTATTCAAGAGTACATAATCTACATTTTATTCGTTTTCGTCGCATTTTTTACAAATGGGCTTCTCAACTGTACATTTTCCGCATACGTACTTTTTACATTTTAGACAGATTTTGTTCGTCTTATTATCTTTACAATACCTTATCTGACATGTTTTCCGTTCACGAGAACCTGTACTTGTACTTGCGATGGGTATTGGTTGATTTTTTTTGCCGAGCTCTTGTTGGTATTCGATGGCAAGTTCTTCTGCCAATTGAAATAGAAATTCCTGTCTTGTAATTTCTCCTCCCGTAGTTTCTTTATATAACACCCATGCATTTATCCCGGCTAAATCCAAGATATTAAAAAATACTTGCAAAGGCCATCTCCGAGATTTAGATTTTACCGAATAATTTCTGGCCATTTGGTCGGTCACATCTACGCCAAACTTGGTGCTATTATATAATTGAATTGTCTCCGGTGTTCGGGTGTCATTTTTTTCAATTTGTACGGAGTTGTGCATTGAACTGAGAATTAGAACTTTCTTTCTTGGTTTGGCTTTGTAAACTGTCAACATACAATTATTTGAGCGATAGAGTTTGGTTGAAAAAAGTGCCATGTCGTCATTTTTCAGTTTTGCCAGTCTTGGTAGCTCTTTTCTATTTGCTCTAATTGTCCCAACAATCGTAGTTTTTTTTGCTAAAAGTTTTGTTGCTAAAGGTAGGCTTGTAAAAAAGTTGTCCGTGGTTATATTTCTTCCACATCCTACATACGGTTTTGCTAATTTATGCTAATGACAAACTCTCCAAGAGGAACTGAGGGTTCTCTACTTTCATCTTTTCCCAAATATGGAAAGCCCATAGTGACAAACTCTCCAAGAGGAACTGAGGGTTCTCTACTTTCATCTTTTCCCAAATATGGAAAGCCGTTTATTATATATTTGCTACGCACATCGGATGCTAACCAGAATTTTATACCAAATTTGTCCGGTTTATTGGGCATGTATTGAGTAAATCTACACCTTGCTTTCGTTGGAAACAATTGTTCGTCAATAGTAATATATGGTCCTGGTTTATAACAATTCTGACTGTTGTCAATAAACTTGTACCAAACTTCGGAAATCATAGCAAATTTATCGGTTTGTAACCGTTGGTTTCGTTGATTTCTGTCGTCAAATCGAATAAATCTCATAATCTCCGTAAAGTCATGTCTACTCATAGTATTTGAGAAAAAAGGCGGGCCCCACTTTTTATTCCATAGAAGTGCTATATCTATATTCTTAGCCTCATATGCGCCGCGTGCATACAGAATTGCAAAAAATGCATATAACTTTGCAGTAGATAGTTCCCATTTATATCCCAACACTCTAAATGCCTCTGCCTCTGTGCACTTTCTTATAAGTTCGATTATATTCTTATCAATTATCACAGAAAATGCCGTCCTAACTTCGCCTTTCATAATATTACGTTTACTGTACCCAGTCGGGCCTGATGTTTCCCTAAAAATATTATGACCAGGTGCTCTTCCAGGATTAGACCCTATTTTTTACTTCGTGCCAAACAGTTCCGTCCATCGCAATTTCGCTTACTTCTTCCTCATTCTCACTATCGGAACTAACTAAGAATCTCCTTCTCTTTCGTCGTCTACGTACGTTCGAAATATTCTCTTCGTTCTCATCGGTGTTCGAATCTGTTTCAAGTGGATCATAATTTTCCGTATTGTTATTTTCCATATCCAGAATTTCCTGATCATCTTCAGAACATTCTGCATCGATATCATTTATTCTCTCTAATAATACATTCGCACTCCTCAAACGTCTTGCCATTTTGGGGACAAATATTCTACAAAAATAAAAACTAAAATATGAAAATGTAAATCAAAATAGATAAAAAAAGAATAAAAGATAAAATGTGAAACTTACTGCGAAGTATTGTTAGTCTTGTTCACTATTTTGAAAATGGCACTTATAACACGTAATACGATATAAAATATTACAAAATAATAATAAAAGACTGCCAAGTATGCTCTTTGTGACTTTCACGTTCGATGCACTCTGTTCGTGTCGCAAGACTATACTGATTTGAATTCGTGAGAAGACGTCTATACACTTCCTTCAGTTACAAGTTTATTTATTTTACGTCATAGTAGATGAGATGGCGTAGAACATTCGAGGATCTTGACCGTATCGGATATCAATCAAGCAAATAAACACCGCTAGCCCGATAGTCGAGTGAGAAATGTAAACACTTGGAAGTGCCGTAAACCATTTTCTGGAAGGCACTTATCGGATAAAATGTGTCATAACTACATTACCTTTCGTTTGTAACGACTTTATAGTTTTGGCATTGAGTCTTAGAGAGAAACTCTTACATAAATGTATAAATCGTACTACCGGTCAAATGACCGGTCGTGGTAGGTAAGACAGACTACAAATTTTTCTCGGAAAATAAACAATAGAAAAATAAGTGAATATTGAAAAATATATCATACATATATATGAGGAAAAGTGGTAAAGTTTAAAGGCGATTCACATACGTTGAATGTAGGAAATTCCAAATGAAAATTTAAAAACGGTCATTTGACCGGTCCTGGTAGGAATAGTGTTAA